ACAAAAAATAAAAAAAAATTAAATATGGGTTTTGTTTTTCATGTTTTTAGTGCTAGGGATTGAACCCAGGGCCTTTGTACTGAGGTACATCTCCTTTTTTTAAAATTTTGAGAAGAAGGTCTCACTAAGTTACTAAGTTGCACAGACTGGGCTCAGACTTGTAGTCCTCTTGTGTTAGCCTCCTGGAGTGCTGGAATTACAGCCGTGTGCTGCCACGCTCAGCCTAGGAGATAGTGTCTTGTTACGTTGCCCAAACTGGCCCTGAATTCCTGGGCTTAACTAGTCCTGCCTCAGCCTCCTAATAAATTAGACAATGTCAACAATTCAAGAAATAGCAATTACTAGGAACAATATTTTAAAACTAAATAGTTTGGTTTGTATTTTGATTTTGCTTTTCTATGGTTATTCAGGAAGTTAGAATTTAGAATCCTATATAAGCAGTGAGAGTAATGGAATCAGATTTGCAAGTTAGTGATGGGATCCTAGGAAGTGGGATAGTAAAGCATATAGAATTCCAGAGCTGAAATTCTTGATAATGATCCCTTATTCTTTATCTCAAGATGATATAGCTCTAACTGTATGTGTTAGGGAGTTTGGGGACACATTTATTCCTAGGGAGAAAAGAAGAAAGAAACAGCTGGCAAGGACTGGTTTCTACTTCCTAATCACTGCTTGTGTGTATTCCTCCTGTGGACCACATGAATAACCTGCAACAGACTGTGCCCTGTTCTTAATTGAAAAGTTGGATTGAGATAGTTGTAAGTTCATACACAGTTATAAGAAATAATACAGATAAATACTATGTATCCTTTATTCAGTTATCCTAATGGTAACATCTTGTAAACATACATAATCCAGTGTTATAACCAGGACATTGCCATTGATTGTAGACCTCATTTAGATTCTCCCAGTTTTTCTTATGTTGTTCGTGTACATGTGTTTGATGTATACAGCTTTATTCATGGATAGCTGTGTGTATCCACCATAGCAGTGAAGATACTGAGTGGTTTGTCACCACAAACATCCCTCCTATTGCGTTTTTTATAACCATACCACCTCATCCCTACCCTACTCCACCTCCCATTCCCAAGTCCTGGCAACAAACTCTTCTCCATTTCTAAAATTTTTTATTTCAAAAATGTTGTCGAAGTGGAGCTATATGGTTTGTAATCATTTGGAGTTGGCTTTTTTTTACTCAGTGTAATTTCTAGAAGATTCATCCAAATTGCTGCATATCATTGAGTCCAATTTTTAGTTCAGTTAAAGAATGTCTTATGAAAATTTTGGACTCTAAATTCACTTTGTAAGTATCAATTTCTCTTGGGTAGGAACATGCATTTTTTTTTTATATCAGGAATCGAACTCAGGGCCTCGAGCTTGCCAGACAGGCTCTGTACTACTGAGCTATGTCCCTGGCCCAGGAGCATGAATTTTAAAGTCTGATGGATTTGAGAATAAATACCATATCTACTTTGGAAAATTATTTTAGGCTCACTAAACTTTAATTTCCTTATATGTAAAATTAGGATATTATTTATAGGATACTTCTACAGAATAAATAGGATGACATATTAAAGGTCTTAGCACTGTGCCTCTCACATAAGTGTTCATAAATGGTAGTCTAAAAGAAAGATGTGGGTTGCTACAGCAAAATTATTAACATTCTTGACTTTCAAGTTAGTCTAGGAAGAAATTGTTTTAGCATTCCATTGGCGGGTATTTATATATGTTCAGGAAGGAGAAGGAGAATTCAGTCTTTTGTTTTTAGCACTAACCAAGGCTGTTTAGGTTTTCAGAGTGAGCATTATCTAATCTTCATATTGTTTTTTTTTATATCAGTGATCATAGTAAAACATAGTAACTGCTTTAATGTTATGAATCTTAATCAGCAAAAACTGGCTAATTTGAATGAACAAATTATATAATAGTATAGATTTGTTAAGATTGAAACATCAGTAATTTACATATTTTAAGTTTTATATATGTAAATTCTAGGTGGCTGGAGTTCTGGATGATTGCTTGTGTGATATTGACAGTATTGATAACTTCAACAACTATAAGATCTTCCCCAAAATAAAAAAATTGCAAGAGCGAGACTACTTCCGTTATTACAAGGTAAGATTATAATTTTAGTTCTGTTGATGTTAAAGATTTCTATATAGCAGTCTGTGGATGTGACTTTATGACCCTTCTGAAAATCCATTTAACTCCCCCAACACCCTATGCATGTCTTTTGTCATTTGAGTGTATTTTGTTAATCACTTAAGAATCTGAGACCACTTCCTGTGTTTGGGGATATCCCCATCTCGCAGTTTTGGTTGAGTCAGAGACTCCTCAGTTTACAGAAACTGAAAATGCCAAGACAGACCTTGTCAATCCCCATTAATGTAGGTTCTTCCATGTAGACCCAGCTACTCAGACTTCAAGTTGGGCTGTACACTAGCATTGATAGCAGTGCAAAGTGATGTAGCAGCAGATGTGCATTGCTTAGCTCCCCGGGAGGACTGGCAAACCAGGCTGAAGCTATAGGAATACTTTATGCAGTACCTGTGGTAATACTGCAGGATTGGGTCTTAAATCTAGATCCAATTATCCTAGTAACATTATCCTACACCTACACAAAATACCAATAATACTTTAGAGGGAGCAGCAGTCTTCAAATATGGCAATTAGTAATATTCAAAAGGACAGTTATTCTAAATTTTTGAAAATGTTTTAAAAGCTACTGTTGGGCTTTTTTTTTTTTGCTCTTGCTCTCAGGATTCAGTTGGCTTATAATTTCTTTGATTAAAGTTTTTAGTTTATTCTGAAAACTGAGCATGAATTTCTTTTTATCTTTATTCTAGATAGACTATCTTAATGCTTCAAATATTTTTGAGGGTAAAAAATCCAGTCTTTTGGGACTTTCAGGTTGTGCAGGAGAATAAATTAGAAAAGATCCAGTCAGTACCAAGAATATCTAAAAAAAGGGTGACTGTTTCTCTTCTATCAATAAAATATTGGTTATAGCTGGACATGGTGGCACATGGGTGTAATGCCAGCATTTGGGAAACTGAGGCAGGATGATCACTGAGTTTGAGGCGAACCTAGGCTATATAGTGAGTTAAAGGCCAGTGTGAACCATATAATAAGACCTGTCTCAAAAAGCCAAAAATAAAACAATACAAAAAATTGGTTATGAATGCAGAGAATTTATTTCAAAGAGTAATCTATTGTCTTAATTTCTGCATATTGCATATAAATTATTGCCACCACTGAATCCAAATCTATTTATAGTTCCTGTCATATGTTTCCTTCCTATTATTAGATTGAATTGTATGAAATTATTTTATATTTCAAAAATGATTGAATATACACTTTTATATGGTTCAATCTAATACAGTGCAGGAAGCATTTACTCAGTTAAAAACCACATCCTTACAGGTGTCCAGATCACATCTCCACTGACTCTCATGACCCTCCTCCCTCTTTCTTGCTCCCATTTTGGGACTGCATCTTCTATTTCTATATCCCTACAAGTCCTGGTCAATAGAGGCACTCAGATATTTCAATGAATGAATATTTTGTTTACTTTCGCACCAAATTTGTTAGTATTGTCCACATTTTTCAAATGAAGAAATGATTTAGGTATCATAGGTAGGGCATTTTTGTTGTCAAAGAAAACAAGTTTGATTAAGAAAAAATATTGAGTAGTTTACAAAATTGAAGACAAGCTGAGAAAGCATACTTCAGAACACGGTGGTATAGTGGACCCTTGACTTATGAACGTCATTGGTTCCCAAGGGCTGGTTTTAACTCAAGTTAGTAGTAAGTCAGTACAGCCGAGATCTGGATGTTTACCTGGGTACACACTGTAGATAATAGGCAGATGAATCTTCCATTAACCTAATTAACCCAAATTGTTTGTATGTCAGGCCAGACGTAACTTGAGGGTCCACTATAAATTGGTTCTAGGAGGCATGACAAGTACCAGAAATGACAAATAGCAAAAAAATTGTTTTGCTGAAAAGGGTAGTGAGTCATGAGGCAATCAAAACTAAAAATTGTAGCTTGTGTTTTGAGTACCAAATAAGTGACGAGTACTGGGACACGATTTTTGAGTTAAAATGCATCAGGGGCCAATTTGATGAATTTCAAAGCAGAAGAATACCAAGGTATGTATGACTGTAGATGAAATTAAATGAGCACTGATGGATAATTAAAGGCAAATTTTTGGATCAAATTAACCATATTCCCATATTTTTACAACGTTTTAAGAAGACGTTAGAGTCTTGGCTGTTCTAGCTAAGGTCATGTGACCTTTGACCAAAAGAGGGAAGGACAACTTTGTCAGTAGTCCCATTCACATGAATATAAGAAGAGTCATTGTTTCTCAAAGGTAAATTAGGGAAGTATTACAGAAGAAGGAAAAATGGATGCTGGATGGGCAAAAATAACAATATACCTCTTGGCTACTCGACATACAATCTCTTCTCTTATACATGTAGTTAAAAATGTTCCAACTGAATGAAATTGTTCTATACATAACCAAAACGTACTCCTATCCTCCCCAAAGGAGGGTAGTGCCCTGATTTATTTAATACCTTCAGCTATGAGTCTAGGATATTTGAGTGAGAGCTACTCTTCTAGTTCTGTCAACCTATGAAAGATGTAAAAAGGAAATTTAACCACTTCATATAATAGTGGCAAAAAAGGAAAGCTAGAGAAGAGGTTAATTTCAGGGACACACATGCATACTTATGATTCAGCAAGCAAGGAAATATAGGCAGAAACAACCACCTACTTTTATGCAGCTAGGAATTGGTTGTTGTAACCGGTGTTTATAACTTCTCTTTTATGTAATCCCTTCCATTTTTTCACTATTTTGGTATGAGGTAACTTGCTTTGTATATCAAGCTGTGCTCAAACTCATTTTTCTGCCTTGGCCTCCCAAGTGCTGGGATTATAGGCATGCACTATGATGCTTGGCTCCCATGAAATATTTATTGAATGAGTAATTTTTGCTAGCCTCTAGTCTAGATTGTACTGTAGATGCAGTAGTGAATAAGACAAAGCTTGTATTCTGATCAGGGAAAAGATAAGTAAACAACAAATGTACTTTCAGGTGGCTATAAGATAAATGTTATGGAGGCCAGGGATTTAGCTCAGTGGCACTGTGCCTGCCTTGCAAGTGCAGGGTCCTGAGTTCGATCCCCGGTACCCCCCCAAAAGATAAATGTTATGAAGAAAAATAAAGCAAAATAGAAGATAATAGTGATTATGGAGGGGAAAAAAATGAGGCAGGTGTCCCTATTTTTAATGAAGGTGGTCTGAAAGGAAGGTATGTTAAGCACCTTTTTGTTGCTGGAACAAAATACCTGACACACATAACTTAAAGGAGAAAAGGTTTATTTAACTCATGATTTCAGAAGTCTTAGTGTCCATGATTAGCTAGCTCCAAGGCAGCAGCAACATGGTGGAAGGCTGTGGTAGAGGAAAATTGTTCACTTCATGGCAGCCAGGAAGCATAGAGGAGAAAAAGAGCAAGAGTGGCCTACTGGGCTCTACCTCCCAATAGTCCATCCAGCTGTGTGGGCTCACAGTGGATTAAGGTGAGAGTCCTCAGATCAAAGTACCTTTGTAACCCCACCTCTGAACATTGCTGTAGTGAGGGTCAAGCCCTTAATATGTGAATCTTTTAGGGGGACAACTTTTATTTAAACCATAACAAAAGTATTTATGCTAATGTGCCATTTGAGCAAAGACCTACTTAATGTGAAAGAGTAAACTATGACAAGATCTGGGGAAAGAACATTCCAGGGAAAGAAGTTTAAAGAAAAACAGCAGGTTTAAAGGTCTTGACATAGGAATAAGGTAACTGTCTTTGAGGAATAGGAAAAAGGGTGATGTTGTGGTAGAAAGTAAATGAGAGGCAGAGTTGGTGAGGTAAGTAGGGATCAGATTTTTTTTTTTTAATTAAGGCTTATTGACCATAGAAGGATTTTGGATTTCATTCTACATATAAGAAAATTTGAAGGGATTTTTGTGCAAAATAGATTATAGGGGTATGAGGCAGGAATAGAGAAACCGTTTAGGAAGCTATTGCTGTAGTCCAGATAGGATGATGCAGATTTGGAAAAGGGTTCTAGAGTTGGAAGATGTAAAAAATGTCAGATATTTATTTTTTAAATAAAAGGTAACACCAACAGACTTTTCTGGTGGATTATGAAGTGTGAAAGTAGACGTGGTGATACTTGGAGCTGGGGATTTAGCTCAGTGGTTCCACTGCCTACCTCGAAAGCACAAGGATCCAAGTTCGATCCCCAGTACCAAAAAAAAAAAAGTGATGATACCTAAGGTTTGAGCACATATATAAAAAATCATGACTAATGAATTTTATTCTATGACTACAAGGATGATTATTCTAGATCTTCAACAAAATTCAAACATATATTCTTGGTTTTTTTTAAATCAGTAAGAGTTATCGTTACTTCCTTAACATGATGATTTCAGTCCTAACATCATCATAGCCAAGATCTTATGGAGAAACTTAAGAATTCACACTTAGATCAGAAACCAGGAGAAGAACACTATAGTCTTCATTACTATTAGATGTATTGTCCCGTACAGTTAAACAACAAAAAGCCATTAGAGGCATAAATATTTAAAAAGAATAAAAAGATTTTCATTTGTGACAAAAGTATACCTTGAAAGCATAAAAAAAGGTTGTATACTTAATATGCAAAAAAGTCAGTAGCTTCGTAAATGCTAACAATAACCAGTTAGAAGATAGACTGGAAAACCTCATGAATAAAAAATAAAATATGTAGGTGTAAATATTAAACAATGTGCAAAACCTAAATGAAGAGGGCTTCAAAACATTCCTGAAAGACACAAAAGTAGACTTGTTCAGATAGAGATCTTTAAAGTATGAAGAAGTTAGAACCTTTTTTTTCTTTATGGTGCTGGAGATTGAACCTAGAGCTTTATGCATGTTAGGCAAATGCTGTGCTACTGAGCCGAATTCCCAGCCCCATTGCATGAAGATGTTGATTCTTCTCAAGTTAATATATGAATATAATGTGATCCTCATAAAAATACCAATGTGTTTATGTTTTTCATGGAGCTAGACAAGT